GGCTGCTGGGAGCTGTAGTCACCGCGGCACGAGGCGGGCGCTGCTGGCATTAAGACCCCGCTGGGTCTTAATGGGATTAGATTTCAAGGGGCAAATGATGATCTAGGACCGTAACATCGTATATTATATTATATTATATTATATTATATTATATTACATTATATTATATTATATTAATGCTATCTAAATGCTATGTGTGTATAGATATAGATATAAATAGATAGATATATCCATCTAATTTCTATATCTATCTAGATATCTATATGTAGATATCTATAATCTATATATAGATTAGATATCTAGATATAGACATCTATAATCTATATATAGATTAGATATCTAGATATAAATATCTATAAGATTAGATATCTAGATATAGATTATAGATATCTAGATATAGGTATCTATATAGACAGAGATACAGAGAGATATAGAAAGAGATACAGAGATCCATATAGATAGATCGATAGATATATAGAGAGATAGAGATCTATATAGATATAGATATATGCATATATAGACATATATATATATAAATCGAGAGAGATATAGAGAGAGATCGAGAGAGGTATATAGAGAGATAGATATATAGACATATAGATTATATATATATGGAGAGAGAGAGATCTAAATATATATAGATCTATATATGTATAGCTATATAGAGAGAGATGGACAGACAGACATATAGATAGACAGATGTACAAATATGGATCTATATAGCACTGATGATGTGTGTTTTCCCCGCTGTTCTTTCCCCATCTGTGGTGGAATCACGTTGTTGGCGGACACGCGGCGGGCAGGAGCTGCTCCCTGCACAGCGTTACTTCTGTGTGATGCCAGCTTAGTTTCCATACGGCTGATGCGCTTTGGTGAGATTTTTGCCCAGTTCCACGTGCGAGGCGTCACGCTTAAGGGCAAGCAGCTTGTACGGAGCCCGTGGAAATGCCGAGAAGCAGCCAAAGCTGGGACGTGGAGCCACGTTTCGGATTGTAGCCGACTCATAATTCAGGTCTCTAAGATGTCTCAAGGCTGCCTTTTACACAGCGTACTAGCTCCTGCTCTTGAAAAATGGCAGAGTGGCTTCTCGACTGTGAAACAGGAGATCAGATATAAAATAAAACACAAGTTAAAGGAAATCGGTACGGATAAAGTGTCAGAATAAAAACTGCCGAGAGAATTTAATATGAAATTGGCATGTGACCACGTCTATTAAAATCTGATTTATGAGAAAACATTTTTGGCAGTAAATCTTATTGCCTGTGGCTATTGCTGGAATTTGACTAAGAGTAATATCAAGACATAAAATAAAAGAGTCATTGTCTTTCAGTTTACTTTTTAAAAAAAATCAATCATGTCCCATTTTCCATAGAAATTGAGTTATTTGAGCATAAAATGCAATTTAGCCATGAATACCAATTCTAAAGTATTTTTATTCCGGAAAGTAATACTAGATGATGATCAGGAATGCTGTTTTCAATGCTGTAAAAAAGACATTGGTTTTTAACCTTTTTTCATTTGCAGACCCCTAAAAAATGTTGAACGGAGGTGCAGACACCTTTGAGTTGTATTCTAAGTGTTGATAAGTGTTGGTATTCGCATACTTTTGATTGATCATAGTCATTTTTCATGGACCCTTTAAATACAGTCCGCGGGGTCCACAGACCACAGGTTGAAAACCACTGCTATAAAAGAGATGCTAGAGCATCTGGAAACCTGATCCATTGCTTAGAAGTGCCATAGACTCCCTTAACACATTACTAGACCGGCTTCAGAGGAATTAGTCACAGGAGAAAGTCACCTGTATACTGCCCATGTTTTCTCCCAGTCTTCTCAAACTGCACCGGGATTTATTTAATTTTCTTGTGAAAACAAGAGCGCTTTCTTCCTGTGTTTATGAAACTGTTTATATTATCTCACAAACTGTATAGAGAAGCAAATATCCAATGTGTTTTAAACAAGATGTAGTGTTCTGGCCTCTGCATAGCACATGCAGTTTAAAATTAAATTCCTAGTTTCATAGTTTGTAGGGTCGGAAGGGACCTTGACAGATCATCAAGTCTGCCCCCTGCCATGGCAGGAAAGAGTACTGGGGTCAAACGCCCCCAGCAAGGTGTTCATCCAGCCTCCTCTTACAGACCCCCAGGGTAGGAGCCAGCACCACTTCTCTTGGAAGTTGGTTCCAGATCCTAGCCGCCCTGACTGTGAAGTAGCGCCTCCTGATGTCTAGTCTGCATCTGCCCCCTGCCAGCTTGTGACTGGTATTTCTAGTCACTCCTGGTAGTGCTCGGGGGAAGAGGGACTCCTTCAATGCCTGCTGGGCCCCCCTGACTAGTTTGTAAATGGCCACTAGATCCCCCCTCAGCCTTCACTTGTGGAGACTGAACAGGTTCAGGTCCCGTCGCCTCTCCTCGTAGGGCCTGCCCTGCTGTCCCGATCATGAGGGTGGTCGTCCTCTGGACCCTCTCCATACCAGCCACATCCCTCCTGAAGTGTGGCGCCCAAAAGTGGTGGCCTGACCAGTGTCGCGTAGAGGGGGAGGATCACCTCCTTGGACCTGCTCGAGATGCATCTGTGGATACATGACAAGGGGCGTTTGGCCTTCCTGACCGCGTCCCCACACTGTCGGCCCATGTTCATTTTGGCATCAGTAATGACTCCAAGATCCTTTTCTGCCTCTGCACTAACGAGAAGGGAGTTCCCCAGCCTGTAGGTCTGCTGCTGGGTCTTCCTCCCCAGGTGCAGCACCTTGCACTTGTCAGTATTGAACCCCATCCTGTTCTCATCTGCCCACCCCTGTAACCTGTCCAGGTCCAATTGCAGCCTATTCCTCCCTTCTAGCGTGCCCACTTCCTCCCACATAGTGTCATCCGTGAATTTGACCAGGGTGCTTTTCACCCCCTTGTCCAAGTTGCTGATAAAGATGTTGAACAGCGCGGGCCTGAGGACTGAGCCCTGGGGGACCCCACTGCCCACATCCCTCCAGGTCAAAAATGACCCGTCCACCACCACTCTCTGGGTCTTGCCCTCCAGCCAACTAGTGACCCATCTGACTGTGCAGGTGTCGACGCCACAGTCCCCTAGTTTTTAATGAGAATGGGGTGAGAGACAGTGTCAAAGGCCTTCCAGAAGTCCAGAAAGACTACATCCACTGCTACCCCTGTGTCCAAGGATGTTGTGACCTGGTTGTAGAAGGCCACCAGGTTGGTCTGACAGGACCTGCCCCTAATGAACCCATGTTGGTTGCCCCTGAGCATAACCTCCCCGGCTGCCCCTCGTGGACATGCGCCAGGATAACTCTCTCAAAAAGCTTCCCCAGGATGAAGGTAAGACTAACAGGCCTATAGTTTCCTGGGTCCTCCTTCCTCTCTTTTTTTAATTCATCCCACTTGCTCTGAATACAGTACCTAACAACAACTTATCCAGGGACAAGTAGTAGCTACAGCAAACCAGTGTGGAAACTGCTTAATTTTCTAGAATTAAACAGCATGGAAAAAATCATTGGTTTTAAATTTCATTCTCTTTTTAATTTCAAGAGACCATTAAATCCTTTTAATTTGACTATTGTGCTTAAATTACCGTATTAGAATCTGATAAAGTATCAGCTTTGCCAGGTGTCTGAAGGACGCACAGGGGGAAAAAATTACAGTCCAAGTCTAAATGCTTGGAAATGGGGGAATCAAATTCACTATTGTACAAGGATAACACTTTAAAGTTTATAGTTTAATGCTCTTAGCAATTATACCAATAGTTTATGAATTATTTTAACAGAAAAAGTTATTTGCCACATCATATAAAGTCCTTTATTTTATACTCTGCTGGCTTTAATTGTCCCTCTAGCATTAATAGAGCAGAATAATAGTAAAGCATTGCAGCACTGAAGGTACTTTCCTCTTCTTTTCACATCTTGCTTTATACCTTGAATAACCAATATTGTGTCATTCTAGGTAAGCTCAAAGCCTGGCAATGGAAGTACACTTAAGCTATCAAGCTGATCAAAGTTATCAAATGCATCAATTCTGATCATAAATGATAACAGGTGCTTCATTCAGTTTGGGTTATTATGGAGATTGCCGCTTAGTTATTGGCTTTCTGTCCTCAATGCCCAAGCAATAAGACATTTAGTTGGTTTGAACTAGTCTCCATATCCCATTATTAAAACCTGAATAATCCAATCTGAGGCATTCAGTTAGATTGGGATCTTTCGCCACGGCCCTTCTTTAATCCTGGAACATCTTCAACCATAGCCAGTGTTTGCTGTTCTGCAAAAAGCACCCATTTTAACTTATTTGAATAGGTCATAATGCAAATCTTAAGCAAGGCTTCCAACAGGTTTAGTCACCTTTTCATTAGTTATCTTAACTGACATTTATACCATTACATGTGGAAGGATCAACCGTTTCAGATAAGACCTGTGTCTTGCATTTCTAAAAGACAGCGAGCCATGAACGTGGCTAACAAAAGCTCTAGCGGAATATATGTATTAATCTTTCAGAAACAACATCTAAGACCAGGCTTGAGAACACCAGTAAGCATTTTCTGTGCAGGTTTTTGCGGGACAAAGGCAAAAGGAGAGGACTCTCCTTTACTGTCTGCTTTACAGGAGCGTTTGAAACTTTCCGTTGAATTCTTTCATATATAAAGTTCGCTGGCTGAAATGAAACGCAGGAATTCATGTATCAAAAAGTCAAGAAGGCACTCAAATGGAGTGCTGTTATTTAAATGCTGTTCCACCAGGTAGAATTCTGCACGACTAAAAGCCTCTCCATTACTATTCATAAAACAAAAAAAACAAAAAAGCCCAAAACCTTAAATTTTTTTCAGGGAAAATCAGACCACATTT